ATGCATAAAGTAGTATCATCTAGTATGTATCACAAAGATATATAAAAAATTAAAACTTTTGACATATTTCATGTGATTCAAAATTTTCAGGTGCTTTTAAGATCATCAAGATCAATGCTTTTTTTCAAAAAACTCAAGCTTTAATCAGCCACAACTTTCCAGCCAACAACTATTTTCGACCAAACTAAAATTTTACTTACAGTTTACTAAAAATCTTTTTGTTTGAGCTGCAAAAACACTGTTTATATTGTCTGTTACCGTCATGTTTTAGCACCACCTTCTCCCACTTTTGACTTTTCACCACTTTTCACTTTCTTCTCTCTTCTCTCTTCCTTTCTTGCTTCTTCTTCTCATTGTTTCAATAATTTTCTGGCGTCATCTTTTAGTTAACTTCATAATTCATCTCGATCCTCTTCGGTACTAACACTCGAAGCTTTAATCACCCACCTTTAAGAGCTTCTTTTCTTAGCCTGACCACACTTCTTAAAACTTCTATATTCTTTGCATCTTGGCTAAGAACATCTTCTATCTCTTTCCCACTCCTTGTTTTTTCACATATCCTCAGTATGTGTGTCTATGGTCCTCTTTTTCTTCCGGACACAGTCTAAATATTTTTTCTTTCTCTTCTTCCCAGAATTCTTTACCTTTACACTCATTTCCGCATCTAAATCTTGCCATCAGCCTCCTATCTTTACTTGTCACATCCTTTTTTAGGTACTCTGATTCTTCCTCTGTTTTGATATATCTATATATTTTGCTGTATCTTAAGTTTCGTATCTTCTCCATTTTTTTTCTCTGTTCTTTGCTAGCCATTATTTTTTCTCTTAGTTCCTGCTTAAATTCTACTCCTTTCATGTATCTTGTTTCTTTTACATTTTCTTCTTTTAGAGTTTCTAGTCGCTTGTTTGATCCTCTTCCTATATTAATTCTTACTTTATCCTTGTCTTTTTCTCTTATACCTTCTTTCATTAATTTTATATTTGAGACCCTGATTTTCTCTTCAAATTTAAGCGCTCTTCTTAATGCTTTTATTTTTAGCTTCTCCATTTTACACTCTTCTTTCACTATGTAATTTAAAGTGTTGCTATCTAATCCTAGTATCCACTTCAGGTATCTTCTTTGCAAAACTGTCTAGCCTCTCATCTTTTTCCCACCCCCATATCTCTGCTCCAAATAGTGCAACACTTTCCACAAGTGCTGTAAAAAGTTTCATCCTCCCGTTATAACTGTTCTTGAATATTCTTTCACCTATACTCCATGCACTCTTCATGGCAATTATTGCTTTTCTCTTCCTCTTTTCCATGTGTCTTTCACTGGTACCAATCTTTTGTAAAATATATCGAAGATATCTTATTTCAGACAGGCACCACACTTTTTTATCTCGTATACTACATCCTCCTATTGGCCCTTTTTTCAGCTCTTCCTCCAGATCTGCCAGGTATATGTTGAACAAGGTTGGGCTTAAAAGACATCCCTGTATCACTCCTTTTTCAGCCCAAAATTCCTCTGATATTCCTTCTGCTGCTTTAATTACATTACTTGTTCCTTTGTAAATATTAATAATTCTGTTTCCTAATTTTTCACTCACCTCCATTTCTACTAGTCTTTCTCCTAGTACATTCCTATCCAAACGATCGAAAGCTTCTGTGAGATCTATAAAGCATGCAAAAACCTTTCTTCTCGGTTTGCTCAGCTTTTCCTTTACTCTATGATTTAGTGTGAAAATTGCTTCTATTACTCCTCTCCGTTCCCTAAATTCAAACTAACTCTGGTAACTTTTTTTCAATTTTTTTCCTTAACAATCCGCTTAGCATACTAGCGTATGTCTTGTATGCCGTGCAAGTTAGTGTTACTTCTCTGTAATTTTCCGGCTTATCCTTATCCCCTTTCTTACATATTGAACAAACTACTCCAATTCTCCATTGTTCCGGCATTACTCCTTCTTTCCATACTTTTTTTCATCAACTCCCAGACGGCTGTCTCTAACTCTTTTGGCATATATTTCCAGACCTCATTTTCCAATTTATCTTCTCCTGGTTTTTCTTGGTGCTAGATTTTTCTTGCTCTTCTGTGCTTTCGCTTGAAATCCCCTGTTTTTTTCTTGATTCTTGTATTACCGTTACTCCTTCATTCTTTCCATCCAACTTTTCTATAAAATGTGATCTACAATCTTGCATTTTTATCTTCCTATTTCTTCCTCGTTTCCTTTTTCTGAATCTGTTTAAATACTTCCACATTTCTTCTTCTGATATTGCTTTCCTCAATTTTTCCTCTTCATTTCTTTGCCGCCTTATCCTTGTTGCTTCGCACCAATTTCTGTATTCTCTTTTTTTGCTTATGAAGTATGATGACTTATCAGATTTGAAGACGACGAAGAATTAAAGTCTAGACGTAGCTATCAATACGATATTCAGCAGGCTGAGCCAAAGACAAGGAACCTGTTAATAGATAGATGTAGGTTGGCCACATTTAATTTCACTCTGCATGCGCAAAGCTGGCACGGCCTCTACCACACAAGCACAATGCCAGTGAATAATAATGATGGTAGCTGCTAAGAAAGCATCTTATACGCACTAGAAAAAGCCAATAGGCAGGTATTGGTGGTACGTAGTGTCATTAATACTAGCAATGGAGTAGCAAGCACAATGAAGTTTCAACAGTAATGGCAGACCAGTGGTCCTGGGTCATGACGTGTCTCCGTATATATACCAGAAAAAGTTGGGTAGCACTTTACGCACAAACCCACACTACTGCAGCTCTAGTGTATATCAGTCGGGTAAAGTTAGCAAACCCGGTACATAAAATTGCTTTTTTATAAATAATTGGTTTTTGTCGGCTTAAAACTTTTTCATGGCCATTTTTCGTAAGCACCTTTTTTTAGTTTTTTTTTAAGGTTCTTAAAAAGTATCACATTGATCTTGCTCAAATTTTGTACGGTTATTTTCACCCATAAAAAACATATTTTGTCGAAGTTTCAAATCTTAACATGCAACAGAACAAAAGTTATGGAATTCACAAAAAAGTGGTTTCTTACAATTTACTAAAAAAACTACTGGACTGATTGGAGCTCAAAAAAACTAACTGTACTTGTATTTTTGCTATGCATTCTACTATGGACCTTTGGTCCTTAGCCTAATAAACCCACTCTACTCTACTCTACTCTTCATTTTATCACACTTTATTTGTCAAATGCACAGTTTTTCCGTAAATCGCAAAAAAGTGACTTTGACGATATTGGCCATTTTTTAACCATCTGGCCCTGTTGAGATCGGGTTCAAACTTAACATATTATTTGTATTGTTATTATATAAAAAATAAATTTTTTTCAAATGAAATTTCATAATTTTTCATTTCTATAGGCCAGGAATCAGCTAATTTTACCTGACTACGTGTACTCTTAACACTATGTGCGCTTTTTCTGCGTTTCCCATCGCCATTCGTCTTGTCTACCAAAGACATAAAAGAAAAAATAGCCATCTTTTTGGTGTACCACACGTTCCCTAGCAAAAATGGTTTATGCACCAAAACATCTTACTATCCAGCTTGAAAGACTAATATTCGCAATGAAGTCAAGAAGAGAAATTCAAACACCAATACAAAAAGCACCATGTAACAAATACTCAACTTTAATGTTAACGAATCTAACTCTACGTTTACTGCTCATGTAATACAAAAAGATGTTTCTGTTGAAATTAAACAGTAGTGAGACCATGAATAGTGAAATTTATATTATATAATGTATGATAGTTGTTAAATACTTACAGGTGCAAGCGGTTGACTTGAACTTACTACATACATCATCATTTATAAGCTGAAGTGAACACTCTCGCAGAGTCTACATATGTAAGCGCAATAATGAATGTAGGTAAGTGCGCTAGCAAGCAGTGAACCGTAAATTGTGGAATATCAAATGCACAGGACTCAACACTGTAGTATAAGTAGGAGAAGGGAAACTAAAAACCTATGCTTGATGTTATTCAGAAATATAAGCAGACTTTACCTATTCTCGAATAGTTTTTCTAGAGAGTTACATTTTTTATTAATTGTATCTTTGACTGATCTACGTTTATTTTTATTTTTCTGATTTCTATTTTTTTTTGTAACTATCAATAAGAAAAACATGTGTTACCTTTATAAATTATTCAATTGTTTGATCCTCTTCCTATATTAATTCTTACTTTATCCTTGTCTTTTTCTCTTATACCTTCTTTCATTAATTTTATATTTGAGACCCTGATTTTGCGTATACTATATATATCGCTTCGACAACTATCAAAATAAAATATTGTTAATTTTCATCTATACTATCAGCTGTAGCTTGCGTACAATGCACTGGAAGGAATATACTTACAGATTCATGAATACATGTAGAGATCGACGAAAGCAGTGTTGCCGGATTTTCATAACGCTCCTCGTTCTACTGAAATTTCACTGAATTTATCAACTTTGCAAAGCTCGAACAACAAAACTATACCGCTGAGCCCTTTTAAATTGGAACCACAGTTGCTTTATAATATAAATTATATCATAATATTTTTTACAAAATATCGTAAGAAGCGTTTTAGAGATATGAGCAATTTCGTTCACAAATCGACCCCTAATCCGGCGCTTTCCTATACCTCCTGTGTTAAAAGTTCAACATTAAAACTTTAATATCTCCAAAACTATACCGCTAAGCTTCTTCAAATTTTGGCTCATGATAAATAATAGTAATCTTAAGGCACACACAAAATTTTAGAAAAATCGTAAGAAAAGTGTTTTTGATCGACTACTACCTTAAATAGTTGTTATTTGGAGATAATGTATGATGAAATTGGTTAATTAAAAAATCAAAAAGATGGGTAAAACGGTAAAACTTTTAATTTTCAAACTTTGGAAAGTCCGTACAACAAAAATATATTTTAAAAAAGAATGAATTAAAAATTTGTTATAGACCAATGAACAACTACTTTTATTGAAGGTAGGTAAAGAAATAACAAGATATATGCAAATGAATTTACCTTATTTATCTTCGTCGGATACTGATGAAGAATGAAAATAAATGAAACTGTTGTCCATATGACTAATGACACTAATACAAAAACAATGTATTTGCTTCGCATGGTTGATGTTACGCCATCTACAAAAATTATACGTTTTTAAGTCTTACTATGAATTACATCAAATGAATTGAGATTTATGTTTATAAGAGTAAGTACTATATAAGTCTGAAGAATGTTTTACACAAATTTGAATTACCTATTGGATTAAGCTCGTCTTACTGTTCAAGAAAAGTTATAATTAAAAACGAATAGAATACGTATTATAAGCATGACAGGGGAAGTAAATAAAAAAAATTAATAACGTGCAGAAAGAATGAAGCAGACAATTATCATACCAAACAAATAATAAACTATTTCAAACACTCCAAAAACTACAAAATATTTTATAACACCAAGCAAAAAGCTGTTCTGATTTTGATAACAAATAAAGGTAACGTCATCTCCTCTTCATCTTTTCTGCTTGACCAACTAGAACAAAGCATGTTCAGTATTTAGTGTGGCGACCTTAACTGTACCTTAAAAATCAATAACTAGTAATATTACTATCTGTACATTAGAGCTTTGATGCCCATGTGGTTGGGATAACGGAAAAAAACAGCTTTGAACTTGCTGCTCTGTATTAAAGATTATTAGCAAAAAATTTGTTTTTTACTGATAAAGAACTCTTAACTTACTTTTAAAAGTTTCAAAAAATATTTTAATCAGTTGACAAAAGAATTTGTAAGATAGTTATTATAAGTAATTTTAGTTGTTAAGTCGTAAGCAAGTCAAAATAGAGGTATATCTCTTGATTTTGCCAACTCTTTAATGTACAGAAGACATAAATTGCTTTATCGTAAGAGTAACAACCGTAAAACTACTGCTCAATAGGCCACTTTTCAAAGACAGAGCACCTCACATGATTTCTTTTTTTTATTGATTTTTTAAAAGTAGCGTTCTTTTGTGTAGAAAATACAAAGAAGTTATTTAATGTATCTTTAATCTTTGAAAGCGCTAAAAGAATAGCTAGTATTCTTCATTAATTAAACTCTACTTATATTTCCGGTTATGTTTACAAATTTCTTTATGATCTTTGACATGTTTTATGACAAAATATATGTACATGTACATTCTAAGTTGGGTTTTAAACAAATAGTTCTGCTCTCAGATTTTTTTATAATAACTTGTAAGATCACAGCATAAGCAAAACATTAGTTAAGAGCTCATTAAGGATCGAGAATAAAAACTGCAAAACATCTGATAATATTTTTAGCAACGTTCCGTCGAACTTGATGCCTACCTCAGGCTCGTTTGACCAGCTGCAACGATAGTTACAGACTGTGCACCGTATGTAATTTTGATTTGGTTGTATTTATTTTATCTTTTCAATATCTGTCTGGAAAAAACTAACGCAATGTCACCATCTATCAGGGAAATCTGGCGAAGCTGTTTAATAAGGCCCGTTATGTGCAGCAAACTTGAAATTTTTTTAGCAACTTGGACGCATCTCAGACTTGTAAAATGATGGTTTTCGGGACCACTTTTATTTTTAGATCTTTAAAAACACTTTTAATAGGCATGAATACTAAATCTGTATTAATATTTTTGGTATTTTTTCCAGGCATTTTATCCGTTTTTTATCCGTTAAATTTTGAAAAAGGTAATATTTCTTGTTGTTCAACCCTTTTTTCTTAACAACTGACATCATCCCACTCCATACGGAAATACAAAGTGACCATTTTCATGTTGCCCCCCCCCCCTTAACATTTTTGTTTATTGACGAAACGAGTTGTCGGACGCATGTAGTAGGTAAAAATTTACGAGGATTCTCATGGTGTTATCAGAATTAGGGTAAGTTTCCTCGTTTTAAATATAAATTTTCAATTTCAACTAAAAAAAAATTACTGGTTAGATTTGATGACATAATCGTAATCTCCATCACTTTTTACGTTGCTTAGTACCATCTCTCGATGAAATCATAATTACTTAATGTAGATAACTGTAATTAAAATAATTAATAATTTGAAAAGTACTCGAGTACTTGGACTTAGCGTTCTTTAATCTCAGTTGCCAACTTCGCTCGAAGATGTAGAACGATGTGTTGTTAGTATGTTTGTATGGGTATTTCTAAGGTTATGCCTTCTCCGCAATTGTTTGCATTGTCGCCGCGTATAATTAATTTTAATATTAAGTTGAACTGTTAAAATAAAAAAAACTCAAAATGCAATTGCTTTTTTCAAGGCTTTGAGGAGGATGCGAGAGAGAGAGGTGCGATGTTTTACGTTATGTACACGTGGAATGCGCGCGCACACCCTACCTTTTCACATTGCGGTCTTAATTACTCTAGCAAATATTTATTAACACTATTTTTTACAGCGAACCAACTGACTTAAACTTTGTATATTACGATTCCTAAGTTACTATTTTATGGTTGGTTAGAATTTCATTCAACATTGTCTGTTAATTCTAGTTAAGTTTTCAATTGTGAGAGTGATTTTCGACAATTCTCCGTAAGAGCTCATGTTAAAGTACGAGAATTTGTTTTATTTATAAATCATCTCTGAACCAACAAAAGGTCTTATATGAATTATGTTAATGCATTCGTAGAATTATACTTAATTCCATCAAAAACTGACTATTTATTATAAATCATCTCTGAACCAACAAAAGGTCTTGTATGAATTATGTTAATGCATTCGTAGAATTATATTTAATTTCATCAAAAACTGACTATTTATTCCTTACGGTAGTTAACATCTTAATAGGCATCTTAGACGTGGAGAAAACTATGAAATTTCAAAAAAGGTACTCGTCGGGAAATTTTCTTCCCGCTCTGCGTTAATTAAAAATAACGTTTCGTTTAATTCCTAGTAAACCCGTGTGGTTTACCTAGGAATAATTAATTAGATGTTTAACTACTTGAAAATTACAAGATAATTTACCTTAGGTCATATTACAGTTATGATTACTACTTATTAATCAGCATAATTTATTGACACTAATTCTATTTTAAATAATTAATATGAGGAGTAAAAAATAAAATGAAAAAATGTAATGACAACCTTGATTTCATTCGTTGATAAAATCTTAACACAAATACAAATTCGCATTGATCTTACAAATCGAAATTTTGAATTTATGATCACTCAAATCCCCTTTTTTTAACACATTGAGGTGTCGGAAATAATTAAGGTGCAAATAAATAAGAATAAAGGGTAAATTTTTACCTGCGAGAACGGATGAATGATAATTGCGAGGACGACGGTCCATTGCACAATTACTGATTTACCCTGTTGGGCTGATGCGTGTTACATTTGCACGTGCGAGCTAATGTCAATATCGTGTAGATTAGTGGTTAATCTCGAATGTACAATAATCCTAATGGGTAAAAAATAGCCTTCTGACGGATTTTGTCTCACTAATGTCATATGTCCCTGATACAAATAATCCTGCATGACCGCTGTATATTCGTCGCAACAAGCAGGATCCATCTTAAATTTTCGTTCCAAAGCCTTAAAGCGTTGAAATGCCTGGGACTGAGAATTACCAACGTCCGTTTTTGGTTGTATGAATGGCAGTTTGACCACGTACCGTCCCTCGTTATTGCGTCGAACATTTGCAACGTAGTGTGCTTCACAGTCTATTTCTTCCTGAGATTTAATATTGTTTGACCCAATTTTCTCTATCTCCCAAAACTTAGTTAATTGCCCATTAAGATCCAATAAATTGCACGTTTCTGATTTCTGTACATTAGGATTAATGCCGCCCGCGATTACCCACCCTAATAATGTCTTCTGCAAATATAAGTCGCAATTTTCTCTCGTCAAATTAATTTGACTTATTGAGAACAAGTATAAAATAGTACCAGAGGCAATTAATAGATCTATGGGGCCTGGGCTGTGAAAAGCAGGATCGGCCAACCGAACTTTAGGCGAAATATGTAAGGTATCTCGTGGGAAAATCTTATTTGGGACCCTGTCTGCGATGACATTGACCACCAACAAGGTTAGAACCCTTTGAAATTCATTAATACTAGATTGCAGGGTTAATTCGACACTCCCCCTCGACTTCACTTGTACTCCTTCGATTGCGCTAATTGACATTTTGTGGCTCTTTATCGCTCAGCCGAGGCACTGCACCAAGTTTTCTGTAACGAAGTTGGCAGTGGCGCAAGTATCCAATAACGCGAAAATAAAAGAAATTATTTCTTTAAAAACTGACTATTTATTTCTTATGAAATTAAACATCTTAATAGATATCTTAGTCGTGGAGAAAATTATGAAATTTCAAAAAAGGTATTCGTCGGGAAATTTTCTTCCCGCTCTGCGTTAAGGTATTTTCCACGCATGTGCAGTATGTGGATGATTTACTTGATGGAAGAAAGTAGCTCGACACGCAATGAATCTCGGGCTGGTGCGACAAAAAAAGGTACTCTTAGACGAATAATATACCTAAACTGCGCGGAGGCATTTTCCATGTGAACAGTGCGCATGCGAGATAAAAATTACGAAAAATGACAAATCAAACTTCGAACAGGTCATAGAATAAATATAGAAGTCAGCTTCAAATAAGTTGAAAAAATAAGTATTAAAATTATGCTCAATGTCAGTTACATTTCAAACTCATATTAAATATTAAGATACGTCTAATAATTATAATTCAAATCAGCTAGAACACAAGTCTTAAAAACAATTTTAAAATTGCATTGGATGTCAAAATTGCGCAGCTTGGCGCGCTAAAACCTTCGGGCAGGCGCGACAAAAAAGGTACACTTAGACAAATAATATACATCAACTGCGCGTAGGCATTTTCCATGAGTACAGTGCACATGCAAAATAAAAATTACGAAAAATGACACATGAAACCCAGAACAGGTCACAGAATAAGTATAGAAGTGAGCTTCAAATAAGTCGCAAAAATAAGTATCAAAATTATTCTTAATGTCAGTTCGATTTCAAACTCATATTTAGTATTAAGATGTGTCTAATACTCAGTCTCTAAATAAGCTGCAACACAAGTTTTAAAATGATGTTAAAATTTCATTGGATGTCAAAATTGCGCAGCTTGGCGCGCTAGGACCCTCGGGCAGGCGTGACAA